CAGTTTGACCCATTTAGCAGAAGTCAGCCTGTTTAAGGCTCTGATATCTATTCTGTATGACTTAAAGCAGTTATGTCACATGGTATAATTTTTTCACCTAATAAAGGAATATTTTATATATTGGTCTACTCTTCATTCTATCAGCAACAGTTATTACAGCTCGTACATTTTCTTTTTACACATATATGTAAGCATTGAGCCAAATTTAGTAATGCCAACATACTAAAAGAATATTTGTCTCATATATAATACATCTATAGATACACTGTCAAAGATACTTGTCTTTGAGTGAAGATTTAAGGTGATAGGACATATAAATAAATGCAACTTGAATCTTTGACACAGAGTTCAAGCTCACTGCTGTAATAACTAATAATAATTAATATATTAACTATAATATTGGCCATATTATATTTACATTACCAAAGTGAGATGACTTTAGTCTCATGAACAACATTAGCTAATTGTTATTTACTAGCTAATCTTAAAATGACTGTTCAGCACAGAAATGAAGCCCAACAATCATGTTTTACAGTCCTCTGGTCATTAAATCACACAGAGCTCACGTAGAAACAAATGAACAAAATACGTTATCCCTCATTCATTTCTGTCAAACAAAGCTGTATGACACGTTTCCAGCGGTTGGTATCACGGTTGCTAGGCAACCTGGTCAGTGCGACCGAGGCTAGACCGTCCCATTTCACAAGCCTACAAGCCTCGCACTTCTGGCCGTAGCGATCTTCGAGTACGCGGCCCTTGAGGACCGTTAAGGCTGTGTACTTTAAGGCTGTAGACCCTGAATTGGGATACAGCCAGGAAGTTACTTTAGCAGAGCTGAAAAGTGCCATAAAAGGTTCATCCATCAGCATGACTGGTATCTGCTCCTTTGTGGAAGGAGGAACAGGATAAGCACTTGGACTGTGACATAACCAATTTACCAAATAGCCAATACCACCTCGTTAAATGTCAATTGGTCACATGGTTTGTTTGTGAAGGTGTGATTCATCCATTTTAAAAAAATCTCTGTTTCCTGTCTTTTATTTGAACACAAACTGTTTCACATTTTACAATGACTCTGATGAAGGCAGTTAGCCGAAATGCGTTGGTCACTTAATAAGGATGTTTATCATTACATTAAAATGTTGCTAGAGTCTCCGCGTCGTCTCAAGACATTTTCATCAGTCAATCAATTACACAAATATAAATTTCATAAATATCAGCACCGATTAACAATCATAATAAATGTTTTTAACAGATCAAGTGCAATAAATTTAAGATTACCAAAGGTGATCAAGTTAAATTTTAAATATGTAAAACTAGCATTCTTTATTTGAGAAATTATGAGAATGCAGTTACATGCAGTTACAAGATTTTAGACACCAAATGTAAGATATAGTGCAACAAAATACAGATAAATCATAATCAGTATATATAATTTCACAAAACCTAATTTTAAAAAAAAAATTACCCTGTCAATCATATACAATGCTTTTCTTTCCTTCACTTGAGATTTACATAGTACTGAAGAAAAGGCTCCTGTAGGCATGTGTTTTGAATAAATCCTGAATAAATGCAAAAACAACATCTCTCCAAGAAATGAATGTATATGTAATTCACAGGTAATCAGATGTAGCAGTTATCACTTGGTCCTAAAGCTTACAACAGCTATGACACGAAAATGTCATAGCTGTAAGTTCACAATGCGGCATTGTTGTAAAAGCCTCATTGTAAGTTCACAATGCGGCTTTTACAACAATGCTCAAGTGAATGGATTGCTGATGAAGAGTAATTTCCCAAATTATATCCCAAGATTTGTAGGAAGATCTGTAGGTAGGAAGTACAGCAGATTAGGGTATTATTTATTTGCAGATTCCTAAAGTAGGCTCTCACAACCCATTTTCTTACCAAACAGTTAATTAATTTTACTTTTTGTTCTCAGATAATTGGATCTACCAGTTGAAACTACCCTCTTTGTTTGTTTTAATATGGTACTGAAATCCTTACACTGGTTAGAGAAGACACATTACAAGTTCTTAAAGATATATAGGCTCTTCACAAAAAGAGGTTTTAAAACAATACAAAATACAAGCTAACAAGGAGGAAATTCAAAAAATAAATATATAACAGTATTTTTTTAACCCACAACACCAGCTGATATCAGAAAAGGAAAAGCTTAACCTCTAAAGGTCTTAGTACAAAAAAACTGCAGAAGACTTAAATCAGAGCATTAATGGCTAAAAAGCCACAGCAATAGCATAAACTTAAATAAAGATAATAGCTTTTTAGAAAAAAAGAAAATATATCAGTAGTTTTAAGGAATATCCTGTTACAATTAGGGATGGGTATCGTTTAGGTTTGATCCGATACTGGTGCCAAATCGGTACTTTTGAAACGGTGCCGGTGCTTAAACGGTGCTCAAACCGGTGCTTAAAGAATGGAGAACACAAACTTTGTCCAAAAACCTCTC